TATATATATATATATATATATAGGAAGTCTGCAAGTCGATTTTCGCGTGGAACAGTGCTCAATACGTTGAAGCAGAGCAGAATAAATATTATGAGAGGGAAAAAGGGACGCAACTACATTTCCCCTTGAAATGGGAAATGTAGCTGCGTCCCTTTTCCCCTCTCATAATATTTATATATATATATATATATATATATATATATATTTTTTTTTTTTTTTTTTTTTCATGGTTCCTGCATCGCGCCCAGATTGCAAACTGAGGTGGAACATAGAGCGTGAGAGAGTACAAAAGAACACTGGAGAGAGAGGATTAGATAAATTAAACTTTTGCCAAACTACTCTTGTTATATTTTCCTGCCATGGCATTTTTCCCTTGGAATCCTGGGATCGCCTTCAGCTATTGCCGTGGGGGAAGGGGGGGGCAACTTCCTTACGAAACTTTGCAATGGGATCACAGGAAAAAGTTCATACAAAATAATTTATTTTAGAGTCTTGGAAGTTATTTGATCCGTTCAATAAGGAAAAGAAACCACTTTTAGCCAACCTAAGGGTACAATTGAAAAATAAGCAAAGCATTTTAATTCCCACTGAAGCAGTTATTTTTTTCACCTTATTACAACATAAGCTATTTAGTGTTGTAACTAAACGTGTAATTAAACGAAAATAGCGAATCTTTCTCAGACGTTTTCTCTGTTTAGATTTTGTGTAATCCTTCAGCTACTTCTGTGGGGGAGGGACTTCCTCGATCATAATACGAGTGACAGAATTCCACCCGGTATAAGCATCAGATCCTGATTTCTTCCCCACACAGTCTCCAACGTTGATTCCGACTCTTACGGTGCCTCTAGGAATTCCCTGACAATAGCCTGCAATATGAGTTACTTTGTGAACGTTGTAGTCTGTTTTACCGTGGTGCACATGAATATGATAGATACCATCGATGGCGAGGGGACCTTTGCACTCCATACCATTGAAAGTAAAGTACCAGCGCTTACAGCAATTTAGGCAAAAGGCTATTCTGAAATCACCATTGTACTCGACTTTCAAGGTTGTCGCAGAATACTGCTTAACAAAAGAGCAGTCCTGGAAAAATAGATGAAAATAAGAATAATTAATTAGTTGCTAAAAAAATGATCGATCAAAAGATGACTTCATCTCACTTTCCACAAAATAATAAAGTCGTTGAGGCCTGACTTGCTTCTGCAGCTGCTTTCCTGCTGAAAGAATAACCAACATGAAATTCGTTGTTTCCTAACCTTTATTAGTCCATAGTCTCTCCCATCATTAATATTTTTCCATGCGCATTGTTTCCAGTTTTTCTGACCAGAGACCTGGGCACTGGGTTCCCCTTTGGCACCTGGCTCGCCTTTGATACCCGCAGGACCCTTAGGGCCCATCTTTCCTGGTGCCCCCTCAGGTCCTTTTTCCCCCTTAGCCCCATTTCTACCATTTTTTCCATCTCTCCCATTGAGCCCTGGAACCCCAGGGACACCAGGGACGCCACTACAGCCAGTGGAGGGACAGCTTGGAGACTTGGCCTTTAAAATAAGATCAATAGGTGAAATTTGGAGAAAGTGTTTTTAAGTAAGCTCGAAATAAGAAAATTTAGATGTGAAACGTAAAAAACTTATAAAGACCCTCCTTTTCCTTCATGACCAGAAACTGCATTGTATTGTATTTTACTCGCCTGTAGATGCGTTAAAAGATATTTTAGCGTGGATGCCAATTTCAGGTCTCTATTCTACTTTTTATGCCTTATTAACGAAATTTTAATGCGAAACTTTTGACTTTTGTTGAATTTTTTAAGATTAATGTCTGATGGGGATAATTGATTCACTGAAACTTAACATTTATTCAAACAAATATACATATTGGTGGCCTTGGTGGGCCCAACAAGAAAACCGACGAAATTTTGACATAAAATGACATAACATGAAAACGCTCAAATTCTACCACTTTGAGGGAGAAAAATCTCGGGTATCATGTTCTGAAAATTTCCAGCTGACTTTCAGCATTTTTCCTTTTTTTTTTTTTTTTTACGCTTGAAAGTTTCTAATCTGTGGAAAGGGTTTGAGCATGTAGGCCTAAGAAATATCCCCTCAATGAAGCAGAAGTGACGAAAAATAAAACTTTCGTTGACAGAAGCTAGGACTCTAGGTATACATCTTATATTCTCCCCGTTGTGAATTTCAATTTCCAATGACTTATTCCATACGAGAGTCTCATTGGGGTTAACCATTAGCCGTAAGGCGGCCAAAATATTTAGCCGTACGGCGCACAAATTGACCAATTTTAACCGTAAGTCGTTCAAAATGTTATTTGTGAATTATTTTTCTCTCTAAAATGTTTCATGTGTCGTTTTGTCATGATTTGGGGTTAGCGATTAGCTTTAGAATGTCCAAAATTTTAAGCGTTAGACGCACAAGCCATCACCCCATTGACCCGTCCATAGTTAAGGACTTTAGAAAATGATGATTTACAATGATTCGCAAATTGCGATAGAAGAGGGTTTATTAACTGAAACCTAGTTTCCAGATAGATTCATAGAAAGCTTTCGATATTTCAGTTCGAAAGTATTCTCATGAAATGTAGTTATAATTGAATCGAACTCTTTCGCTTCCGGCGAAAAACTTACTGACTGGTTGGCGGAACGTGCCAGTTGTGAAACCATGCAGGCGGTGACCAAAATGATAATAAAACTCGCTGTTTTCATGATTTCCCTCGGCAACTGAAATGTGCTCAGTCAAAAGTAGCTGAAAAGAGAAAAAATTAGGAAACAAAGAACGATCATGTGTTGAAATGAGATCAAAACAGTTGAAGAAATATTTCACCAGTGTTCAGAGCTGTTTCGAAGGAGCCGTAGAAAGCCTACAGGATATATATTTTGATTTAAAAATTTCCAAACGTTTTATTCGCTATGTTCTGAGCGACAGAAAAACGTCATTTAAGCCGCCCTAGTTGTAAATAAAACGGTATTTAATCTAGGCGTAGGCAATAATTGTTTGTCTGTTTCATGAATATTACCTTTTCTCACTTTAAAATGATGTTGGCTGTGTCAAAGGACAAGAAGCGTTGGATCCAAATGCTCTTGTAGACAAGACGAAAAGGCTTTACACGTAGGTAGTAATGTCTATCAGCCTCATTGCTTCGCGTTAAAACACGTTTCTCCCTTTGAAGCCTAGAATACCTTGAGGCATCGTGCACATAAAGGGTATATTTTTGTATAAAATAAATGAATGTGTGTATTTGCTGTAAACATGAGAGGCACTCAAAAGAATCTATTGAGATGAATTGGATTATTCGTTCTTTCGCTCACACTCTCGCGAAGGTCTTTAAACAAGCCTTTTTTGATATTTATTTATCTCTTTATTTCTTTACGAACACCATCCATGATTCTTTTCAGATTTCGATATCATGCGACTCATTACCAGACTCTTCGCTCAACACGTCCGAGGGCAAGCATAAGGGTAACGTGAGGCCCAAACATGGCGGCCACTTCGCGCTCGGGAATGCTAGAAATTTTCACCAAAGATGGATGGAAACGAGTGTTGGCTACACTTGATGACGATGTTTTGACTCTGAATGTGGAAGATAACCCTGTAGTTAATGGCCAGCCGCCTTCACCGAGCTCCCCTCCCCGTTCACCAGAAGCAAACGACCATGTAGAACCACCGCAAACCATAGCGGATCAAATCCGAACTGTGCGAGTCATAAAGCAAGAAGTCGGCGGCTTAGGAATTAGTATCAAAGGTGGCAAGGAAAACAAGATGCCTATACTTATTTCGAAGATTTTCAAAGGATTAGCTGCGGATCAAACGGAAAGTTTATACATAGGAGACGCGATTTTGGCGGTAAATGGAGAAGACCTCCGAAATGCTACCCACGACGAAGCTGTAAGGGCGCTGAAACGTGCAGGGAAGGAGGTCGATTTGACTGTGAAATATGTGAAAGAAGTTACACCTTACTTTCATCGTACGGCGGAACTGAACGCTAATGCTGTTGCAAATGCGAGCGTGAACGGCGAAGGACAAGCAGCTCCGGAAAACAAACCAAATTGTGTCGAAGTAAAGAAAATTCCTCTCAAGCTATGCTTCGTCACAAAGTATGTTTCGCCCAAGATAGAAAATCACGGTAGAACTTTCGAACTTTACAATCCGGACGCCAGATCTGCCTGCATTCTGCGAGGGAAAGACACCTCGTCGGCGAGTCAATGGTTCACGGACATCCACACAAATATAACACGGCTCATTGCACCAGGTATGCGTATCATGTCATTTTGCTTCTTCGTCAATTGTTGCGTGTCCTTTCGCGCAAAATATCAGAAGTTTTTCAGCAATGGTCTCTATTTCTTCGCCCGATTTGGTACTTAACACTGCAATTATCGACTCCAGGCGGGGTGAATGAACTAATGCACAGATTTAGACAAAAATAAAGAACATTTATTCAAGCTATCGAATTCATATTTCATATCTTCATTCTTTCATAGTAAATCAAGTTGTGGTTGTCACGTGAAGAAGATAAAGATGCGAAGTTTTAATACTTCGGTTTAAAGTGCAACGTTTATATGATTTTTAGTGTCTATTTCGAAAGTACTTGAGTGTTTCGTTCCCATTCTACAACTTCAAGTATTGCCTTCTGGTATTTGAATAATAATCCAGCGAACAGCTGTCTGGATAGTTGAAATTTTCATTACCGGCAGTTCGAAGTGGTCCGTATTGTTCACGGCTTGTCGCTATTGTTTGAATCATGTATAAATTTTCAATGGTCGTAAACAGTCAAAACATTTTTGTCATTTAAAATGGCATGTTTACGGAACACGAATGGATTGTAAAGACAGCGCTTTTTTCAGGCAGTTTGTTGTAACTGAAAGTTTGAAATTTTAATGGCGTTATATTGAATTGGAAGCAAATCGCGCCCGAATTCGCGTAGATTGCAAAACACATTAAAAATACATTGCCACTCTTTTTAGTTACTCGTCGTAAGTTTAAGTTTAATTCAAGTTCAATCGACCAGAAAATGAATTTTCTTATTTTGCAAATTTAGATAAACCGACTCGACCGAGGTTGGGAATAATTTTTTCCACTATGTGACATTTGTGGCCAATTGCCAAAAAAGTTCTAGGAGATTAAAAGTGTAATTTATAAAAATAACAAACGCATCTTTTTTCAAATCCACAGATAGTCATAGATACATATGTAGCGCTTGTTACCGATACATACAGTGTATGAAAAATAGATGTGAAAATTCTAATAATGGTATTGAAATCATTCTTGTCTGGGCTGGGTTTTAGGGTGGTTCTTTATGTTTCTCTATTGCAAAGTAACTCATGAGAAGGTAACAGCTGTTTTTTTAAAAATATTTCTTCGACTTTTTTCTCCAGAATAATTGATAACTAGGCCCTGTTTTTCAAAATGAACCCTGTTACCATCAGGAATGACCAATCTGTAACTTCTCCTCACAATGCTCTTACATTCTCAGGTAGACAAGTTATGAGAAGAAATGATATCAATAGGGGAAGATTTGTTTAACTTAACATGAAATTCCTAGAATTTCAACTTATATGTGACCTGTATCAAGGAGAGTTATTTACTTATTTCATTGCTTGTTTGACAGATTTAGTTTCCCTGAATTCCAAACCTTATGGGCTCAGAAATTGAGAGTACTTACTCATTCCTAACCCTTTGACCCCGAGTCTAATTGTTAATTCACTCCTTAGCTGTGACGAATTGCAGTGTAAATTTGTCACAAGAATATGATATTAGTTCAAGATAACAACTTCTACCAGATAAGTTTGAGTATTCTCATTGCCTATATGCTAGATAATGTATGGATAGTATGGAGAGAAATTATGTGCTAATCACTTGTGGGAGTTTAAGGGTTAAGCCAATTATTTCTCAGTTGAAGATGTGTTAGAACGTCTGTGGTGAAAGTCTCTAATGTTTTGTGGTATTAGAGTTAGCAAAAGTGCTACAAATCAATTTTATATTGTTTTCTAAATCAGTTGGTCTTACATTTCCTTCTTTGTATTTTATATAGCCATTGAGGAAGTGAATGACATGCTCAGTTCCAATGCAGGATATCGTGAAGTCCGAGCTATGGGTTGGCTTAGTGAACAAGTTCATCTTGGTGGCGATAGCTCCCACACAGAATGGAAGCCTGTGTTTGTTGCTTTAACAGAAAAAGACATGTTGTTGTATATGGCTGCTCCTTGGTCACGTGAGGATTGGAGTGCACCAGTTATGAGCCATCCACTCTTAGCTACAAGGTGGGTACAATTTTAATGTGTTAAGTAATGCTCCAGATGGCTTCTGAAGTTTTATGAATTTTGGTTTTTGTTTCCTCTTTGTAATTGTCCAGGGCATGTAAGAGTCAGATTGCATCCACAAAATAAAACCCAAAATGTTATCTTTTGACTTAAAATCACAGGTCTTTATTTGCTTTGAAATATAAATTTTGTGGTAGCTTAATGCTGACCATTGTGGGAATGATGTTACTAACTATTTGACACAGATGTAATTTTGCATCAGAGGTGGTGGCTGAGCAAATATTATGCCAGTTAAGATCAAACGTATCAGTGCAAAGGGAAATCTGGCGACAAAAACTTTTTTCCCAATCTTTTACAACCCCCTTTGCACAAGGCTACCAAGCTTTATATTAACAAGATGGCAAACAAATAACATGGAAAGAGGACAGGTCAAACACTTGCTCAAACTGGGATTTTGTTTTAAGTACTTGTATTTGTTATTGTTGCACTGGTACTCAAGATGGCCAGGGGCTTATTGAAACCTTTTCAATGAGAATATAGGTTTTGATATCAAACCATTGTGTATGCACCACCTAAATATCATCTGCTTACGTTGATCAGGTAATCACCAGCCAAAATCCAGCTGGTCATCAACTATTTCTCAGCCTGAAAATTTTATGAGAAGCTGGTGTTTAGCAACAACCCTAAGGCATGAAAACTACTGATGAGTAATCTTGTTTCATATTGGTTTGCAGACTTGTTCATTCAGGACAAGGTAGTAACCACATTCAAAATGAAGAAATGACATTCGGAACACGAACTGGAACTAGAAAAGGAGTAGAGGCACACATGTTTAGAGTGGAAACACCAAGAGAATTGGCAAACTGGTCACGGAGCCTGGTTCAAGGATCTCATGATGCTGCAGCCTTGATCAAAGAAATAAACTGTGGTAAGTTACATGCATGTTATGAAAATGAGTGCAACACAGGGAAATTTTAATGTGTTTAGAAAGATGTTAGTTGAGTTAAAAATAGGGTGGAGAGGAGAAGTTTATGATTTTAAAATAATAAAACTGTGATTTATTTTTCATGTTGGAGAGTTATTCTAAACTCAGAAACAATAAGAATGAGCTCCGCTGTTGTATCAATGGAAGTGGTTTTTCAAAAGGAAGGTATTTTGGCCAATAGCCAAGCCATTTATAAGAGCAAAATGATTTGCTAGGCTGAAAATCACACTAGCAAGGGGACAGGGTTTCTTTAGCAAATACCCACATCTTTCCTGTTATTTAACCTTTTAACTCCCTGATCAGATTTGTCTTTCTCCTTACTGCCAACCATACAATTCTTATGATGTTACCTCAGAAAATTTAATACTGGATCAACTAATTATCCCCAAATTGATATTTTTCTTTATTCTCATGACTTATCTGGTTGATATTTTATTGGTATTGTAAGGAGAAATTCTGTCTTGGTCACTCATGGGAGTTGAAGGCTTAAATTAATAATTTTGAAGCCTTCATGTTTGTGTTATGTCAGATTTCTCTTACAGAGAAGTGGGGGCACACAATTTTAAAGCTATTTTTCTTTTGTGGTGATTAAGTTTAATTTTAAGGTGATTAAGTTTAATTTTTTCTTTCAGCTGTGACTTGGAGAGATCAAGAGGCACGTTTAACTGTGCACTTTGAAAATGGGTTCACCCTCACACATGCACGTGTTAATGAGGGCAATGATCGGTCTCAGGTCTTATGGTATTTTCCATTTGAGAAGCTAAAGCGCTCAGCAGATGATGGACAGAGAATGTTGTGGCTAGAGTTTGGAGCAGATGAGTCTGATCAGGTATTGTTTTGTTTTTCACAACCTTTACCTATATTGACAACCTTGCTTACCTTCAGGGCCACATCTGTTTTGTAAGGACTGTCTTAATAAGATGAGAATGTATTTCCACTTTTTTTTCTTTATTTTCAGGAGTTAGATTTAGAACTTGATCTGCATGGCTGTCCAAAACCTGTGGTTTTCGTTATGCACACCTTCCTTTCAGCAAAAACAACTCGCCTTGGACTTTTTGCTTGAGTTGTGTGGTATGGGATATAAACTTTACACTTCTCTACTTGATGGTTCAGTTGATCCTGTGGTTCTGGAGTAGTGGCTTTCCATTACAATCCACTACTCTTTTGTAGTAATGTTATTGTTATATGCCACATTGCATTCCCCACTTTTGCAAGATGTATCTGCAGAATATAAGTACCATGGTCAGATCTCATAATTTAGGGATTTGTATCAACCCTTTCACTCCCAGGAGAGACCAAGACTTTATTTCTCCTTACAGTATCAGCACAATATCAAGCAGCCAAGTGATGAGAAAATATAAAAATATCAAGTAGGGGATTATCATTTGATCCAACACTAAATTCTCAGAACAAACTTAATGAGAAATGTATGGCAGATAGTGAGGAGAATTTTTATTGACATATTGGGTGTGAAAGGGTTAAAATAGTAATAACTTTTAAACTATAGCTGTTTATCTTTTAGTTTTGTATGGTTTATTTAATAATTGGAAAAACATGCCATTTTCAGCTGTTACCTTTAAGTAAATTTGATTTTGTGTGAAAAAAGATGTTGTCTTCATTGAGCTTCATGAGAGTGGTATGTTTTTTTTATGTCCTTTAGACTAAATCAGTGTTCTGCTGCAGTTCTTGTTGGCTTCAAGATATTACCTTGAGCTTGATTAATTTTATTGCTATTGTATTCATCAGTCTTTGGGGAAGTATAAATTTTTGCTCAAATTTTTAATTACTGGGTCCACTTTGAGCTAGTGAAACTGCAGTATTTTTTAAAGGCTATAGAAATATTAATAACATTGACTGTTTTTTAGTACTGTTGTATCCAAAGATAATGCGAATTGCTAAACTTAGGCTAACTCACTCTCATTAAGTTCTAAAGTGTAATCTGGAACAAGTACAAAAATGGCTATTTGAGAACATCAATAATTACTCTTGGAATTTTTCTGTATTAAGCTGTGGTACTGTGGGGTGGTGTCTTTTCTGAGAGTGATCAATTGGAGGTATTTCTCCTTAATGATTTCCACAGTTTTCTGAAGGTATAGGAATATATTGAGATGATATTTTTATCGTGTTGCTGTGCTTGTAGCTTCATTTAGTTGTAAGTGATTAATAATGTAGATTGTAGGTTTTAGGGTTTTTTCTTTGAAATTATTGATGATTCAAAATGTATCATTTATCTGAGGAATAGTTTGGTTTCTTTCATTATTGATGAAGATATTTTTAAGAACAGTGGACCCTTTGGATGGAAAGGTGGTTAGTGCATTGTAGGCTTTTTTGCTGCAATTAGTTGATAATAGAGGATTTTTGAATGAAATTATAACAAATGTATCTTAAATTTTCTGTGGGCATGGGGAGATTTGTTGTATCATTTGCCCCTATTAACATATTAACATATTGTCTTGTAGAATGATTACTGGTATTTACCTGTAACTGATTTTTTAAAAGAACACTAAAATAGTAATTGTGAAAATTAATTTTCAGCTGACTTACTCTGTACTATCTTGGGATAAAATGTAGTATTGAAGTATTTTTCAAGCTTTCTCTTAGATGTGATTTTATGCTTGAGTTAATTAATTGTAAAATGGAAATAACAAATAGTTTGCCCTTGTTGGTAACATGATTGGCTTTCTGCCAATAAGATAATGTGTTCCATATTTGTATTTAGATTTGAACTGCCAGTAGTGCTGAGGTACATGTAGTATCCAAGATAATTATTATTATAGTTTTTAATGTCATGGTAACTATTTCATTTCCAAATTCTGTGACATACTGAAACTAAAGCATTCCTATTTTAGAACAGAGTTCTTTACATATTCTGAACATGCCAATTACCCAAGGACTGCAATATCCTCTGTGATGGTGTCAATGAAAGTGTAATATTTTGTAGTCAGTCATAAACCCTTTACACTCTTACATCAGTATCCATGATCTCCTTACTCTTCTCTACACATTTCCTTTGTTCAAAAGGAGAATTTGTTTAACAATCAAAGGTTATATTGGCAATCATTTGCGTTACTCATGATCTTAATAGATGATTCAGGGATGATACTGTAAGGAGAAATAAGATGCTGGTCACTTAGGGTTTAAAGGTGTAACTCATTGACTATTTTGTTTCTAATTATGCACTCTGACTCTTTACATACCTAGTGCCATATTCATTAATTGTCAGAAACACATCAATTAAAGTATTTTTAGACAAAAATTTCCATTGTTCCTTTCATCTACATTAATGCCAAGGGGGTGGGATGGGTTTTTTTATTCAGGGGGGCTTTTGACTTAGGGGGTGAGGGCACAGGAGTTGTATTCTAGTTGTTGTGAGTGTTAGCTTTCCACCAAACTTCCTACCAGATTTGTTCTCAGTTTCATTGTGTTTATTCCACAAGTTTCTGTTTTCTCACCATTGGGGTTTGAGCAATGGAAAAAGTTAAACTTCAGAGTCAGCCTGCAGTGCAGGCTTCATATTAGGGCTTGCAATTGTTTACTCCACTGGCCATGTTTGACTTGATTTTAGTGTTGATGGTGGGGTTTTGGGAAGTGCAAGAATTTCTATCTCCTAACACCTCCTTACTCCTTCCTTAGAACCCTCGCTCACTCTTTAGTAGGAATTTCTCTTTCTCCCCAGCCTTGTAACTGTGATAATCAAATAAAGCACCTATAATTTTCACCAAGAAAATACTGAGTAGTCGCTCTCCAAAATTATGTGGAACTCCTCAAACTTTGTCAAATCACAGGCAAGAGGTTATGTTGTTGAACAAGATTTGAAATGGTGCTGTCCATTGTAACACTGTTGCAAATTTAAGGGGAATTTTTGCAGGGTTGATTTGTTCAAGGTGTGAAAACACACCCAGTGCTATAATTCCACAAGTACTCATGGATGACAATTATGGTTTGTGGACTAAATTACATTGAGGTGGACCTGTAAAAGTGAGTCAAAGTTCTCTGCAAGAAATATCCTTGAAAAAGATGTTAAAACAATTTTATTTCACCGAGCAATTTTATAATAGACGAGTAATAAATCTAAATTTAAGAGGAATATTTTACTCTGCTGTTTATTTTTCATACAAAGCACTTACATAAAAAAAAGCAGCTTCTGAAAATAAATATTAATGTAATTTTAAAACAAAATTAAAGGTATCTTTTGACTATCAAAATTTGTTTTCCCTTTTCATCTGGTAGACTGTAAGAAACATTTTGTTAATAATGAATGATGATGAAGTGAAACAAAAAGAAAATTAATCCAATTGATCCACATCAAATTTTGTCTTTTCCATGATCTTCAACTATACTTTTGTCTTTTGTTAACATGCTAATCAAATGTAATAAAATGTGTGGTTATTGTTCATTGTGGCGTAAGATAGGAGATGAACTCTATTCATTCATGTCACGATGGAGTCACCAAGGATGTTGATCACGACATTTCAACTGCAACACTGATAGTCTTCATCAGGCGATGAGGTTGATTGTTTGTCTCACTATTTGTAGCATGTTGGTTTAACAGCAGCAAACTAATGTGCTACAAATAACAACACATAAACAATCAACCTCACTGCCTGATGAAGACTAGCAGTGTTACAGTCAACACATTGCAATCAACATCCAAAGTGACTCCATTGTGAGGCAAATAAGTTTCATCTACTGTACTAATCAAAGCTATCAGTACATTGGACAGTATTATCTCATGTTGTATTGAGATGTAATGAGAAATAATTGATAAGAATTGGTAATGACTCTATGGGCCTTTGTTCAAAGGTGATTTCTTGTCTTTGAATAATCAGACATTTTTAATGCATATTAATTGGATAATACTTGGGGTGCAGACATCACTTAATTTGAAATTGTTGATAAATATGTTCTAAGATAATTTATTAAATTTAATGCACTTAACATAATTCCATGAGCAAATTGTAATTTGTTTAGAAATACAAGTGCATTTTCATACTGTTTGTGTGGAAGCTAACTCAAGCTGCTGTTAAGTGATACACTTAACCTCATTTTTCTATATTTGTACACTAAATTTATCTCATAGATTTATGTTGGATTCTGTCATGCCAAGGCAAATTCCATCCTCATTTATCAGCTTTGCAGTTGCAAAGTAGTTACCCTGAAAGAAAAGAGAAACTTTATTAGCAAGTTGAATCACAAAGATTTTAGAACCTACAGCTCTTGAGAGGGGGAAAGATATTATGATTATTTTCCATCCTGAGGCAAGTGCAAAGAGTTAGTTCTTTTTTTGTGCTCCCCCACTTGCACTTGACTTGCACTTACCTTCATGGCCTGAAAAATGCAAAGTAACTGATGCCAGCACTACAAGCCACTTGATGCCAGCACTACAAGCCACTTGATGCCAGCACTACAAGCCACTTGATGCCAGCACTACAAGCCACTTGATGCCAGCTAGGCAGGCTAGCTCTTCTTTTCTCTATTCCTTGTTAGTAAGTTCTGAAAATTTGGTGTTACACCCAAACCACATCCCTTGTATGATAAAAGTCTCAATTTTGATAGCCTGTCTGTTTAAAAGTGAGTCCAAACATTATCAATAGAAAACTTTCTGGAAACTTATTGTGTAACTACTGTTCTGGTGCCACCCAACTCTCATTTTTTTTCTACTCTTGTGCCCTTTACTAGTTCACTCTGTTTTACTAATGCCTGTAACAGGCTACTACTGTTACTGACTTATTTACACAGAACTGACAAATATGATTACTTGAGAGGAGTGATGAATTTAATCTAAACTCCTAGTAATCTTTGCATTCTTTTGTCCTTTGATTCCATTGGAATCATTGTTCTTTTCCTATAATTTTATTGATAAAACTTGTTAAATGACTTTGTCAAGAGTAGTGGCCCTGTAAAATGCAAAATAGGAGAATTTTATATACCTTTGGAATGTGTCTTGGTAGTTTAAATGGTTCATAAATACTCAATTCCTGACCTGAAATAACAAATAAAAACAAAGATCAGGAACGAGAAAGGCTGGAACAGTTATTATCCTTCAAGATTTGACCACTGACTAATCTACTTGTTCTCAACCTCCCCTTCAATACCCTCCCTTCTGAAATCGGAGGTTTCAGGAAAGACTTGTCATCTTTAAAGATTTATTTCCTCTGATTGATTTAAACTCTTCCACTTTAAGCTGTTGTAGAAAATACATTAGTAGAGGCTGTAATGAGCTTAAGTGATTCACTAAGCATGAACTGGAATGAGATCTGAGTTCATTGAGATTTACCCAAAAAGCCTAACTGCTGGTGAGAATAAAGCACTCACTCACCTTCATGCATTGGACAACCAAATGTTGCAGCTTCTATTTTGCAGACATTGTGTTTGACATCATACAGGGTTCTGCCTTCAAATTGAGCCACTACATGCACTACACCACCTTTCAAGCTGACTTCTGCGGGAACAATAAGAAAAACTATAGTTGGATTTGACTACATCAAGCTGCATTGGCTATACAACCACAAACACAAGAACAAAAATAACAAGCTCTCACAACTAATTTACAAGGAAATGTGTAACAGGCTGGAGGGGAGAATTAACAATAAGATCTTGGGAGTTAAAGGGCTAAGAATAATTTAACCTAAGGATGATATACAAGTGAGAAAATGATCCTCACAGGTCAATTGCAATGAAAGAAATTGTACACATAGATTTTTTTGTTGTATATCATCTGCAGGTCAAAATAAGATTGATTTCAAGTACCTGTCAGCACACTCCTTTGTAGGAACAAAGAACTTTGTAAAATTTGTCTTGCACCTAACATGTGGCTTTAATGACCCCCTAATCAAGGAGGAATTTGTTCAAATCCTGTAAAAAGCCTGAATTTTTTTCCTTTTTTTTCTCTTTCAGGCTTTTTTTACTTCATTTTTTAAATTGCAATTCACCTTTGAGAATCATTTTGTTACCAGAATTTAAGGCCCTTCAGTCCCATAGAGACAAGGGGGTAGGTTTATCAATAATAATGATAATCATAATAATAATATTAATAACAGATAAATAGTGAAAATGATCACAATATAAAGATAGATAATAGCTATTGTTATAATAGCAGTAAAAATACCCAGAACACTCTGTACATGAGATCTTTTAAAGGTAGATTCATACAAGTTTTCAACTCATTTCACCCCAGATAAACAAGTATTAGTAAAAGACTTCACTTTACTTGCTGTAAAATTCGCAACTGCTGTTCCTATTACTCTCCTCTCCGTTGGGTCATAATGAATGATAATCTTTCCGATCTTTTTCCTCACCTCATTGTGATCTGCAAATCAAAACAACACAGCTGACGTGGCATTTGGTTTGAATACAATTGCACTACATATCAATTACAGCAGAGTCTTTCTCCAATTCAGTATGGACGTTTAAGAGAAGAAGTGTCACAATTTTCAGACAGCAAGGGTTGAATGACTTAAATATATGTCTCTCTTTTCTTTTTACTCCCAGTTATATTAATTTCTGCATTTCTGTGGCTAACATAAAGATGTTCTTTTGCATATCTTCCAAAGCCAGTAAATCCTTCTCTGCATTGAGAACCCAGAGAACTGCTGCCCAGGCTACCACCAACCAAGTCCACCAATGCCCTGTCTCTCCCCTCCCCCATAAATAGTATTCGACTGGGCGTTATACTGTAATTTCCGGTTTCTGCCGTTTTGCGTGACAACGAGATAGTGTAATCTCGAACCCTAACATTGACCTTTGTGCTAAAAAATTCGATTTTCAGGTTTATTTATAATGACCTTACAAACCCACTTTCGTGGTTATTAACTTTTTGAAGGAGAAACCCACGTCATAATCTTTCCTTCCGCTTTCAATAAAAAAGACAGAAGATAAGAATAGTTACGATTCTTAGGAGGAGCAACTCATAATAACTTCAACAGAGGTCGCTTCTTGACATTTGGCTCGCGGTAAGAGATTGCGTGGGTACGGGGCACACTAGAGGTAAATTTTTACACGTCAACACATTTTCCTGTTTTCGGGAGACGATGAAAAAATAATCAGAAAGATAGGGGTTCTTATGCTTTGTTTCCTAACTGTATCCTGCTGTAAATTAAAACCTTATCAACAGATAACTCCTATAGTGTTAAATAAGAGAGCAAGATTTCATCCCTCCCTCCATACTTATGGCTTTATATCAATGCTCCTACAATTTACGCCCGCAAATTTATTTAACCAACTTTTGTGCGTGAGAATTTCGATTTTCAATAGGAGCGATCCAAAGTGTCTCAGCTATCTTCTCCAAACAACATTTATTGACTGAAAAACTGATTTTGACCAGAAAATTCTGTCTAAAAAAAAACTCACCACAGCTATCGTAGATGTCTCCAATGGCTCGCAGTCCGTTTGCGATAACCCATTTATCCCATACGCTACTGTCATTAACACCATCGTCTTTCTCTTGCGTAAATTTCAGGTCAGATAAATCCACCATAAGCGAAGACCAGACTAGAAAACATCCCAGAAGTAAGAGCAGAAGAATCAGAAGAGAAAGCCGCTTTTTGTAACCAATACTCCAGAACCTCACACGAATAGAATTCCATTCTCGGCAAACGATCTCTGAGAACATCACGACCCGTTTGAATTTGCCGTCTAAAAGTCCGGATCGTTTGCTTTCTTTGGTAAATTTTAGGATGCTGTAGCTGTCATGTAAATCGGAAAGTGCCCTTGCGATCGGCTTAAGGAGAAACTTGTGCGCGATAACTTGAGTGTATCAAATTGAACAGGAAATGACATATAGTAGCTGTGCACGTTAATCATTGCCAGATTTTACGAGAAAAATCGTTGTATATGTGAACTCTTTTTGTCGCTTTCTTTCTTTTTCCACATTATTTCCAAGAACTTTTCCTAAAAATGTAGCATACTATCCTATGGTGAAGTCTTTGTAAAAATGGGATTGAATTTTTATCGTTTCATACAAAAAAAAATTCACTGTAAGCAGTCCTCAAGGAGATAATAATTTGCCATATACACAAGACGGCACTCGACAGTTAGTCACGCAATATTCTTTAGTTATTAGCAGGCAAGAGGAAACAGAGGGATACGCCAATTCGGAAACCGAGAGAGTGATCCAAGAGAGTTTCCCTAATACAGGGAGACTCTGGCAGAGGAGGTCAAATAGTGTTTAAGAAAGAGAATGCAAGTTAAATAATGCTAGTGCATATCTTTTTTAGTCTAAATGTATCGCATTCTCCAAAGATAAAAACACTCGCTCGCTATGCCAGGTTTCCCCAGTTAACTCCACTATGCCGGGAAGGAAATTTCCACTGGAGCCCCGGTCAATCTTGGCATGGGAAAACGAAAGGAATTAGAATTAATTCAGGCAATTTACCGTACACACTATATACCTTTTCTCCGCCATTCTTGGGGATATTGTCCTAAGGTCTGTAACAACGGAAGACGGACGGAGGAGCCTGTCTGAAACAAACTGAAAATGAAAATTGAGAATCCACTGACAAACAAATTTGAGATTTCAGAGGCCAGAAACAATTACTGTACAAGAGAGCACCATTGCGACGGGCATAATTTCCCAATTAAAAACGAGCTGCAAATTGCTCGTTGCCTAAGTACAAATACAATTTACCCAAACAGAACGACCAAAGTACAAATTGAGGTCCAGTGGCGTGATTTGACGTCAATTTAGTCGACCCATAAATTTGAGTCGGGGAGCTTGAAGGTCCCTGACCAATCACCGCACGAGCTGTAATAAATTACAAGTTTAGCTGCTCTCGATTTGTGGATCTATTACTCTGTTTCTATCGTTGTGAAGCTTCGCCTCTGGGCGATTTGGAAACCCGGTATTTCTGGTCGAATCATGTATTCAGTAACTGGTATTCTTTTGGATTTGAAAGGACGAATGAGCTGTTATGGTTTCCCTGAAAACCGTTAAGTTCAATATCTATTTCCATTTTCAAACTAAAACGGCTCTCAAGCTAAACATATTGAGAAGGCACATAGCTACATAACTACGTAGCTTGTAAGAGTGAGTAACCGCCCCCCTCCCCCCATCCCAGACTGGCAAACACACCAGTTTACCATAGCCGAAATGTCGCAGGGGGCAGGAGTCAGTTGTACAAATGTTCCGGAAAAATGAGGATATTGAATTATTTAGTTGGGGAGGGGGGCAGTAGGCATAGGTCGGTATAGATCGGGTGCTCAGTTGTACAATGCCCTATTTGCTTTTACTTAAGTTGTATTCAGTTCTTTTATACACCTTAGTTCATGGCAAAGCTCTCTTTCTAAACAATCCCGCGTTAGTTCTAAAATCTAAGGGTGCCATCTATATTAGTCCGGTCGATCAGAAAAAACCGGAAGCCAAAGTCTCTGTACAACACCCTGTGGCTATATTCTCTGTGATCGTTTGAAAAAGACAACCATAAACATTGAAAAACAAAGAGAATGAAAACTAAACATAGTTATCTTCGTCTGCAGGGAAAAAAAACTTGAACTTATGGTAAACAGAAACGGCAACTCCCAGTATGTCACATCCGGACGGATTTTCACTCCAACCCCCGTCAACAGATATTTGACCTTTATATCCGGCAGAGGGCGAGCAACAAAAGGTCATAGATGTAAACTTTCTAGGTCTTCTAGATATGAAAAAACGAAATGGTATGTTTTAACTGTGAAACAAGACATGTTTATGGAACTCACAAGCGAAACATATTCTGCAAATGTTTGGGTATGGTCAGTATACATTTCCACGAATTTCATCAGAGAACGGATTCTATAGCACTGAAGCACATTACTCAGTTTGTGTGCGTGTGCGTGTGTGTGTGTGGTCACAGTATTATTGCCTAATGTTTTCTTTTCTTTTCAGACCGGAAGAATCCCCAACCGCGAAAACCATGCCGACAAGAATGTTCGATAGGAAAATATTTGCATTTTGTTTTTTCCCCTGCAGGTGCTATGAACTTTAGAACTTTGATCACGCGGACAACTCGCGCAGTAAATCTCTTCACATGTTCGTCACCTGATAAATTAGAAGGATTAACCAATCACAGTAAACAGCAATGCGGTAAAACGATGAATATATGCTTCTTCGCCGTGTGAGGATTTCCGAGAGGAAATGTCTCACTCGCGCGCAACAGAGATAGATCGTGCATCTCTTTGCACGCAAGTAGCTAACTAAAAAAATAAAAAATAAAAAAAAGTTGAAAAGCCTACGCGTAACAGTAACAGCAATAATATTGCTAACAAATCTGCGGCCCTCTTGAAAAAAAAACAGCTACAAGACAATTCTAACAATCTTAAAAATAGTCTAACATTAGAACTTTTTCATGGAAGTCACCTAATCATGACCTAATGACAAGTACGTACGTTTTCATCCGGCTAGAGGTCTGGAAAGGAGTGTAGCACTGATGAGGTTAGATTAATCCCATACTCCCGACAAACCTCTCCTCTGCTCGTCTCAAATCTTCCCGCAGCTTCCTGCCACGTCAATAATGAGGGTCAGCTCCCTACCCATTAATAAAGATTTAATATTTTAAATAAGATTAAAAGTTAAAAAATGTCCTTTAAAATGAAGACAATGCAGATAATTTTATGATTAAAAATATCAATTTACTTGTCATTTGTTGTCTTCTGAGAGCTTAACACTGTTTTCCATGATGTAACCTTAACCCTTTAACTCCCAACATCTGATTGTTAATTCTCCCCTCTGGCTGCTTAACATCTCCTTGTAAATTAGTTCTGAGAACTCGATGTTAGATCAAGATCCTACTAATCTACCTGACAAGTTCAAATATTCTTATTATTTGTTTACTGAATAATGTATGGATATGATAGGGAGAAGTTTCATGTCAATCACCTCTGGGAGTTGGAGGGTTAAAGAACTTTACTGACCTCTTTGTTCACAGAGATTAGAATACGTAGACCCAATCATTTACAGATCAACTACATTTCTTTTTTAAAAAATTAATAATAACTTATAAATATTTCACTTCAATTTATTAGCTAATACAAATCGTTCCATTTCCTCAACTGGAGTGTCGTAGTTCATAATTTCTTTTCCAGGATCAATTCCATATTTCAGAAAACCTTCATGTGTAACAGATGCCCACACCATCTTTCTTGTATTGAATTCCAGCCCAATATTTCCAAACTTGTCCAAGCAAATGACACCCCCATGACCTCCAGTCAGCTCAGCCATCTTATTAATCACTTTTCTACAAGCATCATGTGGTGTCATTCCATTTTCTACATTGTAGACAACATCTCTACATAAGAGCACTTTAAGTAAAGACTCTCCATGACCAGTACATGCAGCACCTGCTTGCTGATTAGCATAAGCACCTGACCCTACCAGGGGTGAGTCTCCTACTCTGCCACACATCTTATTAGAAGTGCCTCCTAGTATAAAAAAAAGGCACATTTCAAAATGAAGGAGAAACACTCCTATCTTAAAGCAAGGTTATGTCAGCAGTTGTGGCAAGTGGCCCATCTGGCTGGAGCTCATCTCTCCAGCATTCTGTTAGATTCTCTTGACAGTTCTTTAGCACCTATTAATACTGCTGGGTGAAGAGAGTCAGAGGGTTGCGACCAAGAACAAAACACCATGACCCCACCTAGTATTGCACCTATACCTTTTGACTCAAAGTCCAGCATTCTCACCATAAGGCCACAGCAATTTCCACAATCTTAACCCTTTAACCCCTAGGAGTGACAAGGTTCTAGTTTCTTCTTACAACATCACCCCTGAATAAAAGGTTTAAGTCACAAGAATAAAGGAAATTATCAGCAACTAACAAAGCACTTGATGGTTTTACAAATTCTCTCTGTTAGAACCTAAGGAATGTATAGAGAACAGTATGGAGAATATGCATAATGATGTTAGGGTACAAAGGGTTAACTCAATTAGGCTTAGTTTGTATCATGACACAAGTGTAGATTGAAAGCCAATATAAAACTGATTCCTCACACCAAACAAAAATTAAAATCAACTATGAAATGATATTTAGTTAATATATAAATTGCTGGTAAACTTGAACAGTCACCCATGTATGGTTCATTACCTGTTGAGACACCAACAGCAATATGTCCATTAGTGTCCATGGCAACAGCACCAACTGTATCATGAACTTCAAGTTGCATGTCTGTGTTCTTCTTGGGGTCATCTTGAACATTTGTCTCCTTGCTATTTGAACTTGCAGATTCTCCGAGATTTTCATGCTTGGACTTTTTATCTTCATATAACTGTCGTGAACGATCACTAATCAATAAGCTAGGGTCTTCCAAAACAGGAAAATCTATTTTTTTCGCAAATTTCAGTGCTCCTTCCCCAGCCAGCATACAATGAGATGTGTTTGTCATTACTTTGCGTGCCAAAGAAATGGGATTTGCAATATTCTTGACACATGCTACTGCTCCTTGAAACCAAACATGGAGTAAACAATTAGTAGATTGCAATAAATATATTTCCCAGAGGGAATAGAGAGTGAGGTTGCTTGGCCCATTTTCAGATACTGTATAACTGCTACATTCGTACAGGTAACTACAATCAACAATAACAGCAACAACAAAAAGTTCTGAAATAGGGTCATACCAACTGTTATTTTCTTATATCCTTACTTTTATCCTCTCCCCCCCCCTCCCCACCTGCACAATATTACATCTCGTTTTCTATAATAGTCCAACATTTTATGATAGAAGGGGTTTATAATAAAAAATGGAGGTTCATTTTAAATTTTGACTCTTAATACACCCTTTAGAGTGGAACGTTGTCAGCCATCTACTGTTTTCCTTCTGCTTCAGTTATAATAAAGGCAAAATACCATAATAAACTTACCAGTGTTTAAGGTTTGACCATCCATGATCATGGCATCAAGTTCAACAGTTCCTTCTTCTGTAAGGTAACATCCTTGTCCTGCATTTAGAACTCCACTGACACTCCTCCATACTCTGTGTAGCTGCCTCCACGGCATCCAGTGCACTTTTTCCCTAAAAAAAAAGAAAAAAAAAAACCTCGCATAGATTTGAGATTTGTTCATTATAAGTGAGTGCTGGATATATGATATGTCCACCTACATCTACTTCCTCGTCCCCACCCCTCCTCACCTAGGCGTAGGGCTCTTACCTAATAGGACTGTCAACTCTGTAAGTTTATTGCAACAACATAATCAACACCAATCAATTTAAAAAAACAAACAATACCACAGAATCAGTCGCGCGCATAGCTAATAAATTTTCCGGACGACTTACCTCCAATAGCGTTAGATATCCAATCCTGGCCGCTTCCTTCACGGCAGAGAGACAGGGTGTTCTGCACTGTATTTGGATTTCCCCAGCACCTCCGTGAACAATGATACACGGCCTGAAAGTTTCATCAGAATGACTCATTGTCACTGGAAATTTTGATATCGAAATAATAGGTTTCACGGATGAAAGCTTCTTTTTCCGCCAAAACCTAGATAGCGTGACTTTAGTTCACCCATGATCCACCTGGCGCTTTGCAGAAAAATTTCAACATGGAGGACGATTCTGTTCAAACAGGTGAACAAGACATTCAGGAATATTTTGATACTGCGGTAAAAATAGCACGACAGGCAGGGCAGGTAATCTAATAATACTTTATTTCCCATTTCTCCGCAATTACACAACGCAAAAATAGTCCATATACGTTTTGATCATCGTACTCGAGCAGGTCCTTGAGGGAAACTTGTGGAAATTAAGTAAACGTAATGAATAGTAATCAGGCTTGAATTCACGTTCTACATTCATTGGTTGTCCTCTTGGAGATAACTAGAACTGGGCGTGGTTTGCAAATCATGGTGACCATTGTGTGAGAAAAACAAAATTCGTGAAGGTCATGCATGCACGATGAGAGAGGAGACAAGAAATATTACTTTGATTCTTTTAATTCTTTTTGCCAGTTAAATCAAACAGTTTATTTTTAATGGTAGCTAGCATCTTATATCAGCCAATTTTTATTCGTCAGCTGTGATTTTCACATCAGTGGATAAAAGACTTCACCCCAACCCCTTACACCCTAACATTAATATTCATATTCTCCACACTTTTTGTTTACATTCCTTATGGCACCGACAAGGAGAATTTGTATAAAAATCAGGAGATTCTAGAATTGATGATCATATCTTTTATATATAAGGGTGATACACTAAGGAGAAATTAGAAGCCAATAACTCTTAGGAGTTATAGGGTTAACCCCATCATCCAGTAGATCAAGATTAGTGAAAGACTTCCATCCTTGACTTAAAATTTCCAATCAAAACAAGAAACAAGCTCAAACCAAGCTAGCATTTGAAAAAAAGAGTTCTAATTAATATCATGGTACCCTCCAAATAAACTTAGATTTTGGAAGGGAGTCAACAATAGAGTGTAGTTGAAGAGAAACTTGCATAGAAACTATTCAAGGCAATTTTGGAAATTTTTGGAACACATTTAGAAATATTTTGGTGTTGTCAGATGAAACTAAGTCGTCAACAAAAGAATTGTCCCATGCTTTAAGAAAGTCAGCACTTGTTTGTTGCTTATTAATAGGTTTTTTTAGCTTATTTGCAAACCTCATGTGTTTAGGTGGTGTTTGAAGCTTTCCACAAGGAAAAGAATATTGACACAAAGTCATGTGGAACAGATTTGGTGACAGAAACAGACAAGTATGTGGAGGAATTGATTATTGGAACCCTAGCAGAAAAATTCCCATCTCACAGGTGACGCTGTTATTTTTGTGCTTAATGATGTTATATCCATTGGTAATGATATTATATTGAGTAATTTACTGAGTTGAGGTGGGGTGAAAACATAAAAAAACCCTTAGGTGGGTCATAAACAAGTTTATGATGAGCCAGTCAAATCTGAGATTTAAATAAAAATGAATATAATGTGTTTGATATATATTATTCTCATTATTATTATTAATAACTGTCATTGTTATAATAGGGGTTTCAATAAAAGCCAGTTCCTGGCAGTCTGCTACTGCCTGTAAGACCTCCTACCACCATCTGTTTATAATAGTCTACAAGCAGGCTCACATGCTTAGGCTTGGCTTTATGCCTCCTCTTCCAGTTGCTGATAATACCATCTGCAGCTGCTTAAGGAAAAAGTTATAGAAACCCTTATATCATACTCACTACAATTTACCCTGTACACCCTAACATTGGTATTCATATTCTCTACACTGATCTCTCTTCATTCTTGTGGTAATGACAAGGAAAATTTGTTTGACAATCAGGAGTACCTTAAATTAGTGATCTTTTCCATTTACATTATTCTTATGACCTTTGAATTGGATTTGAGGATGATACTGTGAGGAGAAATTAGAAGCTGGTTAATACCAGGAAACTATATGCCTTTGGACTCAGAGCAATGTTCTTGTGTATGTAAACATGTACAAGTCAAATAAAAAATTGGGTTTTTCTTAGTCTCAAAAATTTGAATTAAACATATGATTTGTGTGTGATTTTCAGTTTTATTGGCGAAGAGTCAGTGAGTGCTGGAAAGAAAAGTATTCTCACAGATAATCCTACGTGGATAATTGATCCAATTGATGGTACAACAAACTTCGTTCACAGGTTAGACAGAAACAGAAAAATCCATCTGAGCTATCTTTAAAATGAGCTACATCCTTTTATGATACTAACCCCCCCCCCTAAAAAGGATGGAACAAAAAAGAATTTTTAATCATCTGTCATTTACACAAGGAATAATTATTGTAGCTAATGTCTTTCAGGGTGTTCCCTTTAGCTGTAAAAAAAAATAATATAAATTTAAACTGTTTGATCAAATGCAATAAAATTCTTTAGTTTGTCATTTCAGCAAATTATTTGATATTAAGCCATTGGACTGGTCATAATTACAAAGGATTCAAATGAATTTTTGTCTGTTATATCTCACAGATGAGCCTTATGACTCATTTCTTGTAATTTTATATACATTTCAAATCACTATGGTGTGAAAGCAACAAACAATTATTTTTCCTCAGATATCCTATGGTAGCTATTTGTATTGGTCTGGCAATCAATAAACAGGTAAATTTCATATAACATTTAGTAAGCCCTCAGTACAAACCTGTTGGTCTTGTTTTGATTAAGTATTTAACTGCAGGGGCCCAGTTTTTCATAGGGCAGATAAAGCTATCTAACAGAGAAATTTCTATACAAGGATTCATTTAAGTGTTTACAAACCATACATAACTATGCTATCCACCAGACAGAGATATAGCATTATCCAACCTTCAAACAGCCAGGGCTCAGTGATTTAGGTGAATATAAAAACATGGTACCTTGAGAACATAATATATCTCACCAGTGGAACCCTTAACTTGTTCTTAGAGTGCTGTTAACTCAAAAATGATGACAGTGAAACTTTTTTGAAATGTATAAAATAGCAATAGGTGTATTCAAGCACAACTTTCGGACAATTAGTACTAGTTTCAAATCATTTAGTGGACAGTTGAATCTGTGGCACAGTATTAAGCAGTCAGTTTTTTAAAGTCCTGTTTGCTACAGGGTCTCTGTTTAGGGGTTACCTTCATTAAGCAGTCACAGTCACCCTTTACTAAGTCCCAAAGGCCTGTTTGTATTGTCTTCCACCTGTACTGAATGGTCACTAGAAGCTGAACCACTCAGATAAAACTAAGAATAACTTTCAAGCAATTGTTAATCCATGTTTCTCTCTCAAAATCAAGGAAAGTAAATAGTGATTTTGAGCAAGATTCTATACATTAATTGGTTTATTTTGGCATAACATGGCATTGTGTATCATTGTTCATAATGGGGAGTTTTAGATCCATATTTGTTTCTGAATATGTGTGACTGCAAAAGTCTAGGAGTCATGTGATCAGACTCTAGTGGTTGCATTTGCTGTTACCCGTCCATGTTTGAACTTCAGGCAAGGCACTTTCAGATAGTTGAACTCCCTTAATGCTTTTTGCCTTCCTGTTTGAAAGTTCTCACGTATTTTCTATAAATATATGTGAAGTGAAGTCTTTTCTTAATAACTAATCTTTTAGCTACATCTTGTGTGTGAAATGAAGGACCTCCATCCTTTGTGTAATTCAAGATGGTGGCATGTATGTTGATTTTTTCAGGTGAAATCTGATGTCGATCTAAAAAGCTGAAAGTCTTTAGACTTCTAACTTCTAACCAAAAACTGCTGGCTGCAGTTTGATGTTTGCAGTTAACACTCCAAATGTGCATCTAAAACTCTCCAATACCCCTCATCTATGTGGGACCTGTATTAAGTGGTCAACATTTATAAGTACTCACCCTTTGGGTGACCACCTAATACAGGTTCCACTGTTTGTTTGTTTCTGTTTACAATAGACATATTGATGTTGATTACAGCGAGCACAGATTGCAGCAAACAACATGAATATAAGTTAGGCTTTAAGTTTATAATTTTTGTGCTATTGAAAGGTGCATATTGTTCAGTGATAGACTTAAAATGAATGTTCTCCATTAGATGGAGGTTGGGGTAGTATTCAATCCAATTAAAGATCAGATGTTTACTGCAAGAAGAGGCACTGGGGCATTTTGTAATGGAAAGAAAATTCACTGCTCAAGTGTAACAGGTAAACTTAATTGTTAAATATAGTAAGGAGATAGGTAATGATGAAGAAGAAGGTTTTTTTATTTATTCTAATCAATCTGTAGGAGACACCGTGGCATAATTTGTATTACCCTGGACTCTGGATCAAAAGTGCAGGAGACACAGTGGCCTTATTCAGTCAGTGCACAGGACTCCAGGTCAAGCAGTCTCAGTTTGAGACCTGGCCAGTCATTGTATTGTGTTCTTGGACAAAACACTTTATTCTCACAGTGCCCCTCTCCACCCAGGAGTGGAAACGGGTATTGGTGTATTGTCAGGGAAACCTAATGAAATTCAAGTGGGGGGGGGGGGGAGGGTAACCTGGAGATGGACTGACACTTAGCTCAAGGCAAACCTTTACATACCCTTAGGTCCAAGATTAGGGTGAGTCATTTTGTTACAATCTTGGACACTTAACTTTTACATTGCTTCTCTCCACCCACTCTTTGACCAAGGTCAGTTTTAGCCCAGTGTCCTGTAGGCTGCATTATTCAATCACCTGATTCATGTGGTAAAAAAGAGTCTCAGTGCACAGCCAAAGTATGTCCGTCTCTGTGGTGGATGTCAAAACAGAGCTGCTATAGGGGCAGATGGATGAATGGAACATCACTGCTCCCTGGTTACATTTGATGTCACAAATCTCAACTCACTTTATTCCACAGATCTAAGCAAAGCTCTTGTTATCACAGAACTGGGCTCCTCAAGGGATCCTGAAATCATAAATGTTGTGATGTCAAATCTCAGAAGGCTTGCAGAGAAACCCATTGCAGTTCACAGGTAAAGATTAATAAAAAGACATTTATACATAAAAGTAAATCACTTTAATTAAGTGCTTGTCTATTTTTATTTTATCCAGCATCAGACTACAGGGATCAGCTGCCCTTAACATGTGCTCTGTGGCCAGTGGTGAGGCAGAACTGTATTATGAATGTGGTATCCATGTCTGGGATATTGCAGCAGCAGGAATAATTGTGGAAGAAGCTGGTGGAGTCACACTGGATCCTTCAGGTTTTTAAATATGTTGTGTGTTTACAACCCGATTTCTTGCATAAATATTTACTATAAAGTATTTTGGTTGCATTGAAGATCCATGTCAAGCTTCAACCATTGTTGATTGCCATGAAAATTAGATAAATTTTGGTAATTAAATTTGCTTTGTGAGTGCTAATTTTGTGACTAGCATTTACCCATCTTGTAGCAAGTTGCAGAATTATAATTATAACTTAATAGTTTTCATGATCTTAGCCTTTTAAAATCTCACATTAATGTAAAACATTTTCTCGCAACAGGTAAGCCTCTGGATTTGATGGCACGTCGTATATTGGCTGCTGGAAATAAGGAGCTTGCTGATCAAGTTTCTCAGTATTTAGATTGCATCGAGCTTCCTAGAGACTAGCAATTTTTTTTTTTATTTTAGGACAACTTTGTTCTTGTTCATTTTAATTTGCTGTCTTTTGCATTGTCTCACTTATTGTTTTTTAATGTGTCTGTAACTAATGTTGTCAAGTCATTTGCTTTTATACTGTCCAGCTATTATTTTCACACAAAGTGTCACAGGTTTTACTTGATGAAAAAAATCAACTTAATTTCTTCAAGGTTGTAATTTAGTACCTCTTCAGCATACATCAATACTTGTATGATGTTTTAAAATTTTGGTATTTATTACTGAAAATGTAAATTTTGTCTAAAAAATAAAAAAGCTGAACCTTTTAATTTTATGTACATGCACTACTCACAGACAAGTTATCACTTCGGTCTGTAATTTCCTGTAATTACAGAAAGTGTGTCTTGTTCTCGGGATTTAAATGATTAATAGAAAAGAGAAAATGGTGTCTCATGAGCAAGAATGTGTCTTTGGGTAAAAATTAAAATGATTAAAATTAAGTGAGCAAGAAAGAAGAAAATTTGGGTATCTTTTTCAAAAATAACTGTGTGCCATTCTTTTAAAGTCAGAAATTCAGTCAGCTTTATTTACTTATATTAATCATATTATTAATTTTTAAGGATATAACATTGGAAGAGTTGTATGCATTTGATGTTGTTAAATTGATGTGCTTGCATACAATGACACTGTAACGTAAATCTCTACAATTATAGAAAAATATTTTAAGAAAGTTGATAATACTAAACAAATTGTTTAATATATCAAATTTATTATTTTTTAACTCCTGATTTGTTGCTTTTCATATGTAGTTAATGCACCCCTTGCTTCTCTGGTTCTTTAGTTACTCCCCCTGCCCCTAACATCCTACTACCTTTGTTACCCCTGCTCCATTTCCCGAGGGCAAAGTTCAACACCAGACCCAAGTGTCTAAAATCAAAGAAGGTATCCGAAATAAGATGAGAGAGTTGGGAAATTGGATGGAGATGTCTGTTGCACAGGTTAAAGCATTAAAGGATGAAATAATTTTTTTTCTGCAAGATGCCACCTTTTCCCCTAAGACCAAGCATTGCATGAGAACTTCCAATAATGCATGCATGAAGAGAAAAGCTTGGTTTTTATTGGCAATGCAAGCACAAAAGCAATCACCAACCCAAGCATAACAGCTCTTATTTTACTATGAAGACAGCTTCAACACGCTCATAAACACAAGCAGAAGCACTTTTCCCTTTCCTTGTACTTGCATTAAGGTGAATCAAGAGTTGTCACGCTTGCATCTGTACTTAAGTCAGTAGTGAAAATCAGTCCTAACCCTTTAACTCCCAAGATCTGATTGTTAATTTTCCCGGCAAGAAAGATTTGGTCTGAGCAATATAGAAAAGTAGCTCACAGAGATATTTCTTACCTTTTGAGCGAAAAGTTGTGTTTCGTATTTGGTTTTGCTCTTGGAGGTATCATGATAGTAAAAACTTTATAGTGATGTGCTTTCCTTTAGAGAACCGTTTGAACTTCTGTAACTATGGCTGCAAAACAAACCGCTGTTTTATACGCCCAATCCATCTTCCTGTCCAGCTTTTTTTTTTTTTGTTAGACGTCAGATCAAAGCTTTTGTGTTTAAATCTGAATGACTGGTCTCATCTTAGTAACACTGGATATGACAGTCAATAAAATACTTCAAAGAAATCCAGTAGAATGTTTCTAAAAGTTGTGTAGCAAGTCTAACTCTTAAACAAAGCTGCAAATTATGTGGCCAAAACACTTTCAGCGGGACATGTGAGAAGTTTTAGAATTACACAATGTTGTCCTATTTTCCCTGGAGATAATTAAAGTGTTATTTCTTTCAAATTGAAAATTTAAGAAAATATGAATCTTCAGAACTTCACAATGTGTCGCATTTTCCTCCGGAGTTAACGACAGTGATAAATAGAAGGTTATGATTTTCAATTTAGAACGCATCATGCAAAAAATGCTCTCGACAAAATTACTCGATAAGTTATACAGAACCAACAGTACTGTACAATGATTTTTCCCTCAAGACTTTTCTTCCTCTTCTTTCCGTATGCGCTTCATTACTCAATTTGGTTGACGTTCCGTCCAGGAAACTTTACATAAGTGTCAAATTATAGTTTCAGCTGCTCGCGTGGTAGATAGAAATAAAGTTTCGTGAGAAGGCCTTAATATCTAAAGCCTTAAATGCGAGAGAATATCTGAAGTGAAATCTACATTTTACGCGACATTGCATCCTCCACCCGTCTCGATCAAAGGTAGGGGCCATCTTTGAATCGTACATCATCGATGTGAGAATAAGGTAATTCTGTTTTTTCAAATAAGTGTAAAGTTCTTCCCAGTGCTATCGCCTGAGGTAAGATTTCTTGTCGTTCTTATCGTATATTCCATGTAGAATTTTTGTTGTTCTCAGAAAGAGTTTTATTCAATGGGTAGCCCGCCAGTTCGAACGACATTTCAACCTTCCCTGTCCTTAAAGTGTTCTGACTTCCGGTTCTCTGTTGCGACTCTACTTCCGGTTATTGTACTTTCAATTATTGGATGATACTGCTACCTCACGTCTGACCATACGTTTTATGACTGGCATCTGATAGTTTTTAAACAAACCCAAACACAAGAGCCGGCTCGTAGCCAAACAGACGGCGGTCAGAGGTCTTATATGGGAAGAGACACCGCCGGTAATCGGCTTTCATTAAGTCCGTGCTGACCCTTAAGAATAACTACCATTTAATTTCTCTTTATATTATTACCCCTGAATCAAACACTAATGTCATCAGAACAAAGGAAATGACCACTGTTGCATAATCAGCAATTCATTTGAGCTATCATTAATCCTATTCATTCCGCCATTCACGTCGTCACGTTTTGTCGCAATATAAATACTTGTTAATAAGCGTATATTGTCCCAGCCGTAATATATGCAGAAATGCTGCCAAATATATAAACTCGTGAGTTTAGTTCTAGATAGGATTATTACTTTGATTAGTGTGTGTATGAATAAAAAATTTTTGCAGAACCGAGTAGTTAAAAACCACCAGTCATCAGCTTAGGAAATATATAAAGAGCAGTACGGAGAATATGCATCCTGAAGGTGAATCGTTTGAGCTTGTCACCAACAAATTTCTTGTTGTCACTGAAGCCATGAGTTTCAGAGCGTTGATGGTGGAAACCTACCAGTAGATTCTTCAGTACCTGGGGCGTGTACCTAAAGATATGAAAAAACTCACGTCTAAAATTCTAAAATGGCTCCGAGGCTAGGGGGAATAAAACAAAACATATTTCACCTACTCATCCTTACATTTATTTCTACAAACTCACTTTGTAACATAATCACCTGATGAGCCATATCTACAAAATGGACCCTGGGCGTGACAATGTGTTCTCATGATTAAAAGTGCAATATGATTATCAATAACAGTGCAAAGTATTTACTTTAACAAAAGCTAAGAGCAATATATGAAGCATTTTAGAATCATCCACATTACGTTACGCATTCCAGTGTACACTAAAACTTCAAATATTTGTTTTTCTGATAGCGTTCTTTAGAGTCAAAACATTGGGTAATTTTTTAGGGTTTCGTAAGCGAAATCAAAGGGAACTAGAACTGAATTAGCGACTGGGTTTATTCTTGATATTGACCTAGAAAAATGAAGGTTGTGTGATCGCTCCGTGTTCCGTCAAGTGAGAATACGAGTCAAAAATTTAAAGAATCAAAACTTGTATAACCAAGATAGGACGCGTGATGGCCATGATGATACAAGCCATTGAGGTTCGAGGATAAATCCTGTGAATACCTCAGACCCAACTAAAACTTTATTGAGACGAGTGTGTTTTTTTCTTTTAAGTTGGTACTGTATCATTGTTGTGCCATAAATATGACGGTTCAGAAATCCACTGGTCTTATTTTCATCTCGGTTCTCATTAAAGAGTAATGATACCCTTTCCAGTCTTTCCAGTTCACTCCATTAGCATAGGAGGAGTGATTGCCACGATGATATAAACCATTGAGATTTGAGTGGTGACACCTCTCGTACCACCAGGCTCCTTGGTACTTAATGGCGCAGTTGTGATCTCCATGATTGTCATTATCTTGATCTTTAGTGGTGAACGGCATACCGCGATGTAGAGCAAGAGAGTCACCAGAATTTCCTGACAAAACGAACCGCACTATGAGTATTACGTTTGACCAACAATGAGCAGTTCGTAATTCAAAAGAAATCTTGAAATATCAGATAAGTATAATTTAACGATAATGATATGGAGTAAAAGTATTCTTAGTAATATCTATGATTCATGTCGAAGATTCTAGGGATTGAAACACTAAATCTGATAATGCCAATAAATATGTTTGCAGAGGCACTCATCAGAGTTGGATTACTTCGTCAGGCTAACTGCACATGAGCCATCGGTGAATACCTTTGTACTAATCAACTTCCGGTAAGCGCTGTCCAGAATTGCATATCGATGAGCTGAGGTTACGCATTTTTCTTTACTTCCAAAGCCCTTGATGTAAAGACATTAACCATATTTACATTACTCAGCACTCTCCCCCCTACCCCCCTCCCCCTCCTAGAATGACTATAATAGAAGCGACGAAATGACAGTTTTACCTGAATAAGAGCCAAGGATCAACTTGTACTTGTCTTTCTCACTCATAACACCAAACAAGTTATACTCAGCATATCGAGTATTCCCTTCAAAGTCCTCCAAGTCCACACGTAGCATGCTGTTATTATCTGAGGTCAGCCGGTGAATCTTGTCCAGTCCCAACCAAAATTCACTTTTCAGGTCACCAAAGCCATGTTTGTAGTCGTTCCAGTAGCGGTAGAAATCAACCGAGCCGTTCAATCTTTTCTGGAACACTGTCCACCCTCCACCGGCTTTTGTTTGGTCACAGAATACATCAAAGGCAGGCAAATTATCAGGTTTAATGGTGTACATACCGTCAGTTGGTTTACCTGCGGATTTGTAGATTTCTGCGCAGTTTCTTTTGACTGAAAATCAGTAAGAACAAAAAAACAAACAAAACACCCATTTAAAATGGTTTGGATGTTGAGTGCTTTTTGTTTGCTTTCCTGACTGTTGCTCTGGCTGATAAAACTTGATTCTGAACATTAACTAGGACCATTTCTTTTTCCTTAATATCTACCAGCTATATTCATGTAAAGTTAAATAATAGGCTTTTCCTTTTTAGTTTTACTTTAGTGGTTAATATTCTGTTCTTGAAATCAAGTTTTGGACTCTAGTGAGTAACTCCTCGCGTACTACACGCGAGACTGGCCCACACAATCAAGTCATTTCACCTTCACTGACTTGGCAGGTTTCTCCAGTGAATCTTTCCTGACATACACAACAAAAACCTTTATATGTGAATCCAGCTTGACAGATGCCATTGTTTAAGCATGGGCTACTTCTGCATGGATTCTGTTGACAAAACAAAGAAAGCTTTTTTTGCAGACCTTCCTTATGTCAAGAATAAGATCGCTTTAGCCTTAGGAAATGAAACAATCTCTTCTACCATCTTAGTTTCCTGAGAATGTGAAATGTTACCTCGATTGCAAGATATGTGTAACCCGGATTGTTCACGAGAAGAAATGGAGCATAGTTTTCCCCCGTGGCGTTATTCAACTCGCATTTTTGGCTTCCTCCTACAACAGGTCCAATATTGATAGACACACAATTAGGCTCCATCAAACATATTACTTTGCAGCTCCCTTCGTTTGGCACCTCTGCACTTTTGATCGCGTGACTTTTCATGGCCATGTTCGGTATTGGGTCCTTGAATTTGATGTGTCGACTATCGTCGTCTGTGGTAGGCAAAACAAATATATCGTTTAGTTTTCACTCACTCGAGAAAATTTCTTATTTTCACTGATGAAACTATACTGCATTAGGACCCTGACGAATTTTCCTAAAAGGTGATTCTCATCTCTTGAAAATTTAACGTAACTGGGAGGCTTTCATTACCAAAAATTAATCTTTGACTGTGAATTAATGAGCGGAAGAAAATATTTAAAAATATATCAAGAATATTTTTTCATAGCGTTCATCACCTTCCTGCGATATCTGTGAATCTTTTGTTTTAATTCATCATTTTGAGCCATTTATGTGCATGTGGTGAGGTCTTTTTGAAATGTGACTTTTTTTGTATCTTCTTTTCCATAATAGAAGACATTTTGAATTAGATAAAGCGGGTTACCTGCTTAAAGATCATTTGCTTTGATCAGCAGGTAGCATGTGCAGTTCGTGTCATGGTTTTGAGGAAACGACATCAGAAAGGAAAAACACAAGAAATTTAAAAAGGTATTTATACTCACCGGTGCAACAGAAGCATGGTGGGAGAATAATTCCAAGGAAGATATAGAGAATAACAATGATCGGTAGAAGAGAAAACTTGAACTGCATCGCTGTAAATAGATTCGGAGAGTAATCGTTGAGGAAAGGAAAAAATTCAAGCGGAGCCCAAAATATAAATTGTTCATCTAAACATCAATAGTATACAAAATAAATTTGAAGAACTAAAAACATTGAACAATTCCCTTAGAGCACATATTATAGTAACTTGTGTATCTGAAACAAAAGTGGATAGTTCCTATCCCAACAGTCAATTTAACCTCGTAGGATACAACATGTATAGAAAAGGCAGAAAAAATTGGAGGTATTTGTTAGCATACTTCTCTTCAGCTCTGCCTTCTAAAATCATATTCTGCCAAAGACCTACAAGACCCTCGAGGCAATTGCTGTCGAGGTGAAGAAGGAAGCAATGATTTGTTAGATGTCAATCTACAGGCCTTAAAACAGAAAAGCAAGGCTACCGACAACGAGTCCAGCCTCCAGGATCTTAAAAGTGTTGAGGAGGAGCTTTTTTAACCACATCTGTCACTTGGCGTGTTTCCAAAAGCAGTCTGTCATCATTTTAGGTGACCTTAATCTGGACAGATTGAGATTGGATCGTGCTGATAAAACTTCTGAAGGACCTGGAAGAAGTCAATAATCTACAGTGCATGATAACTGAACCCACTCGAGTTACAGCTCACTCGGAGTCACTTGTGGATGTTATTCTAACCAACAATCCTGAACTGTTCAAGAAATGTGGGGTTTATTAGCCAGAAATGAGTGACCACCATATGGTGTTTGGAGAAATGATGGAGAAAGTCCCTAAACACAAGACTCGCACTACCACTTTCCGGCAGACAAAAAGTACTGATTTCGAACAGCTTAACCGGGACTTGGAGGCTGCCCCCTGGCATGTAGGAGAGATTTTTTTGGAATGTGGACGATCAATATGATTATTGGAAGGGACTGTTGTGGATCAACACGCACCCACTAAAAAGAAACGAGTCAGGGAGAAAGATATACCCTATATGACACCAGAATGGAAGCAAGCCATTAGAGATAAGAGAAAATTTGCAGTTCAATTTGCAAAGGATCGCTCTCTTGAAAACTTTGAGCTCAAACGAAAATACAGGAACATTGCAACACGGGAACGTAGAAAGGCAATAAAGGCCTACTGGTATAGAAATCGGAAGAGCTGAAATCTAAGCCAAGCGAGTTTTTTAACACAGTCAGGTCATTCATCGATACAAAGACAAAAGACACCAATGCTATATGTTTGAAATCTTAAGATGGCGAGGTCGAGAAAGATCAAACTGTGGTGGCTGAACTCCTAGCAAGCCATTTTAATACGGTGGTAGCGAATATAGGAGGCAACCATATCACCAGCCTAACTGAGAATGATCATAGGAATCTCAGTAGTGTCAAGGCTATTGAAAGCGGTTACAAGGGGAATAAATTTGATTTCTGTGTGCTCTTAAAAATGTTAATGTACGAAAGTCGTATGGGTGGGATGTGACAGCACCACCAAAACTCTTTAAGGGAGTGGCTGAAGGAATTGCACCATCCCTGACTAGACTTTACAATAACTGTATTGACTTAGGCGAGTGGCCATCTGAATGGAAGAAAGGCGAATGGACCCCTGTATTTAAAAAGGGAGACAGACAAGACGAAATGAACTATCGTCCAATCACTTCACTTATATGTGTGGACTAGATTTTTGAACACTTACTCTGCAAACAAGTGACCAGACATTATGACCCTGCTCTGTACCACAGGATGACAGCTTATAGAAAACAACACAGCTGTGAGACAACCCTGCTGATGTTGATTGAAGACTGGAGGTCTGCAGTGGACAGAAAAGAGCTGGTAACAATATTATCTGCTGACATGAGTAAAGCATTTGACTCGTTAAGCTATTCACTCACTCTAAAAAAGCTGGATGCCAACGCTTTTAATAGCAGTTCACTTGAACTGATTAGATCATTTTTTGATAGCAGGCTAAACAGAGTAAAAATAAATGGCCACACTTGTGAATGGAGAATTATGGAACGTGGTTGTCCTCAGGGATCGCCCTGCGTGCGGTCTTCAAAACAACAACAGAGACATATGAGGAACTTCTTAAGCGTGCTAAGTTACCTGCGCTTCATAATAGACGCTTACAGGACATAGCAATACTAATGTATAAAGTAAAGAACGATCTAGTACCTAGCTACATATCTGAGATTTTTACTTGAAAGGGTACTCGATATAACCTTAGGAATAGTGACTTTGAAATACCACGATTTAATACTAAACGCTATGGTAAACACACACTTAGGTATCAAGGACCATATATCTGGTCCAAATTAGAAAATGGTATGCGTGAACTACCAAGCCTTAGCATCTTTAAAACTAAAATCCGTAGAGTTGACCTGGCCTAGTGGAAGACAGTGGCAACTGCTGCAATCTTTGCAGCACGTGATTTTTTTTGTTATCTGCATTGTACCAGTATTTTTATGTTATCTGAACATTGTTAATATTTCTAAATATTTGTAAATTTTAATGCATAGTTTATCGGCTATATTGTTACTTATTATGATACTGTACATAGTTTTTTATTAATTTTGTAATAGCAGGTGTACCCAATTAGCTCTATGAGCTAAATACATTGACACGGTAATAAAGATTTTATTATTATTATTATTATTATTATTATTATTATTTGATTAGTGCTCGCTTAACATTTTAATGGCAAACTCTTTCGTAAAAATTTGGCTTCTGCTATTTCATGCATATTTGAGTTTTGACAGCTTACGCTATTCGAACCTGTATGCACATTTCAGAACCAAACTACAGGATTCTATTTGGAGTAACCGGCAATAACAGCACACACTGAAATACACCTTGATAGTTTAAGATAGAGAGAGATCGCCTCTTAATTTTCGCTATAATTCCGGTCTGCCCTCGGATTATTTCCGTCGAAAAGAAACAAAGCCAGTGGAAGAGAGCCAGCTCAATTACACGAAAGAAAATCACTGTTTTTGGAGAGTCTAGTAAACTATTAAAAAGCTGGTTGTATCTACGCATCCGCATCAGATAAGCACTTGTTTTTTACGAGCGTCTTCGGGTGATATCAAAATTAATAGGTGGGCACGTTATAAAATAAATAATCCCCTTTCTAGCTTGCTGGTATTTCGGCTTATAATGTCCTTGGCTGAAAGATTGTCCTCAAAACTTTACATTTTCCCTCGAAGCTTCGCTTCTCGGACATTATTGGCCTATTTACCAGCAGCCCCGATGGGCTTATTTACTACTTAGTTGTATCTCAAACAAGCAGAATGTTTAAGCCGTCCGAAAAATCTTCAAACGATTACAATTATATACAAATCGGCTATCAAAGGATATGCTCATTGTTCCAAACATTTAAACCACGAAAATATCGTATAAGGGTCTTTCTTTTTCTTTTATATTAAAGTGAGGGTCTTAAATACCCCAGAAAATATCGGTGGCTAAAAATTGTGTCGTTATAATCATCGTTAATAAACAATAATAATAATCGTTAATAAAACTTACAGTAATGTTATTGATAGCATTGACGCCGTTCTGCTAATGGCTTATTTCATTCCTTGAAGAATGAGGTGGAATTTCTCCGTCTTTTCCTTATTAAATATTTATCTTTGTGGGCGAGTTACCCGCATATAAATTGGAGAAAAATGGATCATTTTGATAGAAGTCGTCTGCACTGGCGTTCTTAAAATTTTTTATTCTACTCCAACAATTTTATCTTTCAAAAAACCAGAAGTGTTTAAGTACTGTAACTATGGCTACAAAATAAAACCGTCGCTTATGTGGCTGTTCAAATTTAGGTTAGTTTTACAGCTCACAAGTTTTGTCTTTTTATGACCTTGGCAAGTTTTGACTTCGTCATCCAACAAATAAAAGTCACTGAAGAACAGTTGGGCAAGGAGCCCTTGAAAAACGTGGAAAAGTCAAACTCTTTCACAAAATTGCAAATAACTTAGCTTGGTAAGAGGACGATCAAAATCACAATGCGTGAGAAATTGTTTGAGTGAAATATGTAATGTCCAATTAACTACATATAGTTGCATCTTTAAACACAGAGTTGAGAGAAACAAAATAAGAATAACTCTTGATCATTTTCTGTTCGAATATACTCATTCTTACATTTTGTATTTTAACGAAGTAATGTAGCATAATGCACTATATGAGCCCTTTTGTCTACGAAAGTGACGTTTAGTATTCATGAATAACAGAGTGATACGTAATCGTAGGTAATCATATTATACGCGGAAATTATAGAACATTGATTGCAAGTGAGGGGAAGTCTTCGAATGCTACAAAGCCTCGGGGGGGATAGACAAATTCATAATCCTTTGATCCCCCCCTTCCGTGATAAATGATGACGAGCCTTTACTCTTCTTAAAGTCTTCTTGAAAGAATAACAGCTGTGTACTAAATTTTTTGGTGTTTCGTGAAGCTGGTGAAAATATGAGACAAATCTTTTAAAGACTAAAATTTTATTTTTCAAGATTATAATCTTGGACACTTAACTTTTACAAAACTTCTCTCCACCCACTCTTGGTCCAAGATCAGCTTTAGCCCTTTGTCCTCTAAGCTGCATTATTCAACTTAATTAATGTGATAAAATATGAGTGTTAGTGCACAGCCAAACTATGTCAGTCTCTGTGGTAGATGTCACAGCCTTATGGTCGCTATAGGAGCAGATGGATTAATGGAACATCACTGCTCCCTGGTTACATTTGATGTCACAACCCAATTTATTCCACAGATCTAAGCAAAGCTCTTGTTATCACGGAACTGAGCTCTTCAAGGAAATCATAAATGTTGTGATGTCAAATCTCAGAAGGCTTGGAGAGAAACCCATTGCAGTTCACAGGTAAAGATTAATAGATAAGACTTCTACAACTAGAAATAAATCACTTTACTCAAGTGATTATCTATTTTTATTTTATTCAGCATCAGACTAGAAGGATCAGCTGCCCTCAACATGTGCTCTGTGGCCAGTGGTGAGGCAGGACTGTATTGTGAATGTGGTATCCATGAAATTT